TAGGCTCTCTATATATACCTCCAATACAACATAGCACAGACATAGGCTCTCTATATATACCTCAAATATAACATAGGACAGACATAGGCTCTCTATATATACCTCCAATACAACATAGGACAGACATAGGCTCTCTATATATATGTCCAATACAACATAGGACAGACATAGGCTTTCTATATATACCTCCAATACAACATAGCACAGACATAGGCTCTCTATATATACCACCAATACAACATAGCACAGACTTAGGCTCTCTATATATACCTCCAATACAACATAGCACAGACATAGGCTCTCTATATATACCTCCAATACAACATAGGACAGACATAGGCTCTCTATATATACCTCAAATACAACATAGCACACACAAAGGCTCTCTATATATACCTCCAATACAACATAGCACAGACATAGGCTCTCTATATATACCTCCAATATAACATAGCACAGGCTTAGGCTCTCTATATATACCTCCAATATAACATAGCACAGACATAGGCTCTCTATATATACGTCAAATACAACATAGTACAGACATAGGCTCTCTATATATAGGTCCAATACAACATAGCACAGACTTAGGCTCTCTATATATACCTCCAATACAACATAGGACAGACATAGGCTCTCTATATATACGTCCAATACAACATAGGACAGACATAGGCTCTCTATATATAGGTCCAATACAACATAGCACAGACATAGGCTCTCTATATATACGTCAAATACAACATAGGACAGACATAGGCTCTCTATAGATACCTCAAATACAACATAGGACAGACTTAGGCTCTCTATATATACCTCCAATACAACATAGGACAGACATAGGCTCTCTATATATACCTCCAATATAACATAGGACACACATAGGCTCTCTATATATACCTCAAATACAACAAAGGACAGACTTAGGCTCTCTATATATACCTCCAATACAACATAGGACAGGCTTAGGCTCTCTATATATACCTCAAATAGAACAAAGGACAGACGTAGGCTCTCTATATATACCTCCAATACACCATAGCACAGACAAAGGCTCTCTATATATACGTCCAATATAACATAGGACAGACAGAGGCTCTCTATATATAGCTCCAATATAACATAGGACAGCCGTAGGCTATCTTTATATATCTCCAATACAACATAACACAGACATAGGATCTCTATATATACCTCCAATACAACAGAGGACAGACTTAGGCTCTCTATATATCCCTCCAATACAACATAGGACAGACTTTGGCTCCCTATTTATAGCTGCAATACAACATAGGACAGACATACACTCTCTATATATACCTCCAATATAACATATGACACACATAGGCTCTCTATATATACCTCAAATACAACATAGGCTCTCTAACCTCCAATATAACATAGCACAGACATAGGATCTCTATATATACCTCCAATACATACCTCCAATACAACATAGCACAGACAAAGGCTCTCTATATATACGTCCAATATAACATAGGACAGACAGAGGCTCTCTATATATAGCTCCAATATAACATAGCACAGACATAGGCTCTCTCTATATACGTCCAATAGAACATAGGACAGACATAGGCTCTCTCTATATACGTCCAATAGAACATAGGACAGACATAGGCTCTCAATATAAACCTCCAATACAACATAGCACAGACATGGGCTCTCTATATATAGCTCCAATATAACATAGCACAGACATAGGATCTCTATATATACCTCCAATACAACATAGCACAGACAAAGGCTCTCTATATATACGTCCAATACAACATAGAACAGACATAGGCTCTCAATATATACCTCCAATACAACATAGCGCAGACATTGGCTCTCTATATATACCTCCAATGCAACATAGGACAGACATCGGCTCTCTATATATACCTCCAATACACCATAGCACAGACAAAGGCTCTCTATATATACGTCCCATATAACATAGGACAGACATAGGCTCTCAATATATACCTCCAATACAACATAGTATATACCTCAAATACAACATAGGCCAGACTTAGGCTCTCTATATATACATCCAATACAACATATCACAGACATAGGCTCTCTCTATATACGTCCAATAGAACATAGGACAGACATAGGCTCTCTTTATATAGCTCCAATACAACATAGGACAGACTTAGGCTCTCTATATATCCCTCCAATACAACATAGGACAGACATGGGCTCTCTATATATAGCTCCAATATAACATAACACAGACATAGGCTCTCTATATATACGTCAAATACAACATAGGACAGACATAGCCTCTCTATATATACCTCCAATACATACCTCCAATACAACATAGCACAGACAAAGGCTCTCTATATATACGTCCCATATAACATAGGACAGACATAGGCTCTCAATATAAACCTCCAATACAACATAGCACAGACAAAGGCTCTCTATATATACGTCCAATATAACATAGGACAGACATAGGCTCTCAATATAAACCTCCAATACAACATAGCACAGACATGGGCTCTCTATATATAGCTCCAATACAACATAGAACAGACATAGGCTCTCTATATATCCCTCCAATACAACATAGGACAGAGACAGGCTCTCTATATATACCTCAAATACAACAAAAGACAGACTTAGGCTCTCTATATATACATCCAATACAACATATCACAGACATAGGCTCTCTCTATATACGTCCAATAGAACATAGGACAGACATAGGCTCTCAATATATACCTCCAATACAACATAGGACAGGCTTAGGCTCTCTATATATACCTCCAATGCAACATAGGACAGACATCGGCTCTCTATATATACCTCCAATGCAACATAGGACAGACATCGGCTCTCTATATATACCTCCAATATAACATAGGACACACATAGGCTCTCTATATATACCTCAAATATAACATAGGACAGACATAGCCTCTCTATATATACCTCCAATACAACATAGGAAAGACATAGGCTCTCTATATATCCATCCAATACAACATAGCACAGACATATGCTCTCTATATATACCTCCAATACATACCTCCAATACAACATAGCACAGACATTGGCTCTCTGTATATACCTCCAATATAACATAGGATACACATAGGCTCTCTATATATACCTCCAATATAACATATGACACACATAGGCTCTCTATATATACCTCAAATATAACATAGGACAGACATAGCCTCTCTATATATACCTCCAATACATACCTCCAATACAACATAGCACAGACATGGGCTCTCTATATATAGCTCCAATACAACATAGGACAGACATAATACAACATAGCACAGACATAGGCTCTCTATATATTCCTCCAATATAACATAGCACAGACATAGGATCTCTATATATACCTCCAATACACCATAGCACAGACAAAGGCTCTCTATATATACGTCCAATATAACATAGGACAGACAGAGGCTCTCTATATATAGCTCCAATATAACATAGCACAGACATAGGCTCATACAACATAGTACAGACATAGGCTCTCTATATATTCCTCCAATATAACATAGGACAGACAGAGGCTCTCTATATATAGCTCCAATATAACATAGGACAGCCGTAGGCTATCTTTATATATCTCCAATACAACATAACACAGACATAGGATCTCTATATATACCTCCAATACACCATAGCACAGACAAAGGCTCTCTATATATACGTCCAATACAACATAGGACAGACATGGGCTCTCTATATATAGCTCCAATATAACATAACACAGACATAGGCTCTCTATATATTCCTCCAATATAACATAGGACACACATAGGCTCTCTATATATACCTCCAATACATACCTCCAATACAACATAGCACAGACAAAGGCTCTCTATATATACGTCCAATACAACATATGACAGACATAGGCTCTCAATATAAACCTCCAATACAACATAGCACAGACAAAGGCTCTCTATATATACGTCCCATATAACATAGGACAGACATAGGCTCTCTCTATATACCTCCAATACAAAATAGGACAGAAGCACAGACATAGGCTCTCTATATATCCATCCAATACAACATAGCACAGACAAAGGCTCTCTATATATACGTCCCATATAACATAGGACAGACATAGGCTCTCAATATATACCTCCAATACAACATAAGACATAGGCTCTCTATATATACGTCCAATACAACATATGACAGACATAGGCTCTCTAGATATCCCTCCAATACAACATAGGACAGAGACAGGCTCTCTATATATACCTCAAATAGAACAAAGGACAGACGTAGGCTCTCTATATATACCTCCAATATAACATAGCACAGACATAGGCTCATACAACATAGTACAGACATAGGCTCTCTATATATTCCTCCAATACAACATAGGGCAGACATACGCTCTCTATGTATACCTCCAATACAACATAGCACAGACAAAGGCTCTCTATATATACGTCCCATATAACATAGGACAGACATAGGCTCTCAATATATACCTCCAATACAACATAGGAAAGACATAGGCTCTCTATATATACATCCAATACAACATATCACAGACATAGGCTCTCTCTATATACGTCCAATACAACATAGCACAGACAAAGGCTCTCTATATATACGTCCAATATAACATAGGACAGACAGAGGCTCTCTATATATAGCTCCAATACAACATAGGACAGACATAGGCTCTCTATATATACCTCCAATACAAAATAGGACAGACATAGGCTCACTATATATACCTCCAATACAACATAGGACAGACTTTGGCTCTCTATTTATAGCTGCAATACAACATAGGACAGACATACGCTCTCTATATATACCTCCAATACAACATAGGACAGACATAGGCTCTCTATATATACGTCCAAAACAATATAGGACAGAGATAGGCTCTCTATATATACCTCCAACGCAATATAGGACAGACATAGGCTCTCTATATATACCTCCAACACAACATAGGACAGACATAGGCTCTCTATATATCCCTCCAATACAACATAGCACAGACATAGGCTCTCTATATATAGCTCCAATACAACATAGCACAGACATAGGCTCTCTATATATACCTCCAATATAACATAGGACAGACATAGGCTCTCTATATATACCTCTAATACAACATAGGACAGAGACAGGCTCTCTATATATACCTCCAACACAACATAGGACAGACATAGGCTCTCTATATATACCTCCAAAACAATATAGGACAGAGATAGGCTCTCTATATATACCTCCAACACAATATAGGACAGACATAGGCTCTCTATATATACCTCCAATACAACATAGGACAGACATAGGCTCTGGTATTATGTGGGACAAGTAACAAGTTAACTTCTTTATGTGTAGGCCTCCTGATCCGTATCAGCATGCAAACAGCTGAGCAGCAAATGCTCTGATGCTTTAATCTGGAACTTTTTTGTCTTGGTTTCAAACTACCGGTAGATCTTTAAATATTGCATGGAGCTGGAAATAATCACTACACCGTCAACGTTTTTGTAGATACCTTCCAAAAAATAACAATGCTGCATTAATTACCCAGTTTTTCACTGTTTTGTAAAGATGTTAGCATACAACATATTATTAAAACATTGACTCCCAACCATTTTTATTACTATTTAATGTTCTGTATTTTTGAGGTTTCTGTTGACACCAGTCACATATATACCTAGGACTGCCTGGCTGAGGAAGCACTCAGTGATCACCTAGTTTAGAATATCTACAGTACACGAAGGGCCTACCTGAGATCCGTTTCCCCAGTACACTTTGTAACCATTGTCCTCCTTTGGATTATGCGAGGCTGTCACCATGATCCCACAGGCTGCCTTACACATCAAAACACCATAGGCCTACAAATAATACACAAGTAACTTAATATACTCACATGGCAGTCACCTTCTAAACAGTACAACATACAACAATAATGTTGTATATCGGGTAATTTTTGCTGCAGTTTAATTTTCGGGGGGGGGGATGATTTTCATACAATGCAAATTGCGAAAATTTGACAGGACAAAAAGTTCCCGGTATACAGTATCATAATAGGTCTTCTGAGAGTCAGACAATGAAATGCATATAAATACAGAAACAATTAAACAACATCTTCTTATTGAGACAATTAAATTTGTATCATGGTGGCCGAAAGGAACAATTCTAAAACATCTATCTTGTGGAGTAGCTCATCAATTAAATATTTTTAAGGACTTTATTAGAAAACTTTTATACATACTACTGAAAGGGGAAAAGAAAAATGCAACAGCTAGACCAGAATTTAAATTCAGAACCTTCAAACTGTTCTAACCATCTAAGTAAAGAAAACTTATCACCATTTTGCAGCAAAGAGAAAAAGCCGATACTTACAACATATGGGGTGGGACACATTCTGGAAAACAGGTAAACTGGAACATTCTTATTGATAAACACAGCAGTAGCCAACTTGGCAAACCTGTGGAAATAAATTTGTAAACATGAATAATTGGTCTGTGTCTATTTGTAATGAATTACATACAAATTGGTCTGTGTCTAGATCTAAGCTATAGTCAAGGAATAAATCCCAAGCAGCCGGCAGGAACTGGAGGGCAATCATTGCAGCATGTGTTTATTTATCTCGATATATGCACAGCAGTTGTAAAACATGGTAGTTGGGTTAAATTGAAAGCAGATAACGATCGAATTGAAAAACCAGTCGATTTGCAAGAACCCTCTCAATGTCTTATTATCTGGACAACCTGTCTATAAACAAGGCAAAGTATTGCAAGGCAATCCATAGTCCCCCACCGGTAACCATTTCTATATATTTAACAAAGAGTACACTTATATGTCAGGATGTAACTACTGTTCAAAGCATAGGTCACAGTGAGGTCATAGTGACCTACTTCTTGCACTCACCATCCCAAGATGTCATTGTACACCTTATCTGGTTACTCCAGGAGAAATAGTATAGAAGATATGCCCCGGACAAACGCTTTCAAAGGTTAAGGTCAAAGGTCAAGTAATATGTAACAGTGAACTAGTTCTTGCACTCTGCACTCTACCACCCCAATATGTCCTTGTACACCAAATCTGGTTACTCCAGGTGAAATAGTATAGAAGATATGACCCGGAAAAACTTCTTAGACGGAAGGATAGAAGGAGTGCAAACCTATAGTCCCCTCCCCGGGAACTGGTGGTGGACTAATTACAGCTCCGTATGTCCCGTTATAGGACAACCTTTCTATAAGGGACATCTCTAAGTGTCCCATAATTATTAGACAACCTGTCTATAAAGGACAGCTCCCTGTGTCCCATTCTCAGACAACCAATCTATAAGTGACATCTCCAAGTGACCCATTATCAGACAACCTGTCTATAAAGGATAGCTTCCCTTGTCCCATTATAGATCTCCAATGTCCCATTGTAACAAATAACCTGTGTATAAAGAACAGGTGTACACAGTTACCTGTCACTGTTGTGGCGTCCATCGTAACCAATAACAACACCATCTGTACAAGCTGTTGGGCAGGACTGGAGAAGATGTTTACACAAACCCTGAAAGTAATATTGGTGAATAAAACAAAATGTACAGTGTTACATGTTTTATCAATGATGTCCAGATCAAATGACATTTACCATAAACTAGTTTCAGTGAAATATAACAACTTACAATACATTTTGCTGTGATCTTATAAATGCAGAGCTAGTATTTTTAAATTGAACTATTACATTATGATTATATAGGCACAGTTACACAATCTGACAGTAAAAACCTTTATCAAAGCCAATTGACTTGTATGTGCTTATGCTGTTTATCTTAAGCACTAAACAATATAATTTTCATAACCAAAGGTTCTTATTTATTATCAAAAATAAAAGAAAAAACCTATTTCAAATTAAATCAATAATTTGTCAAAATAAAAATCACTGGTTGGAATGTAATTATAAGTTTTAATACTTAATCTCAGATATAAAATTTCATTATTTCTATGATGATTTTCTTGTAAGTTTTCCTAAGATAAATCATTCAGAAATTTGTAAAAAACATCCATTTTCTTGAGTCGGTCATAAGACTATTTTGATTGTAGTTAAAATAATGATAAAGAAAAGGAAAATGGCAAGAGATGAGCAATAATAAAGCAAAGTCAAGATTATTAAACAATGCTTTCCATTTCAAATTAAGTTACATCAATTATTATTCTTAATTGTCTTGAGTTTTGTTTCTCAAAGTGTCGTTGCGCATGATAGATGGGTTGCAACAGAGAAATGATTGGCAGTGCCACACTGCGATTGAAGGAGAAAAACGGGATACCATAGCACATCAAAAAATTGCTGAGGATATCACTGATACATTGTAGTGTACACCTACCTGTGTTGTCTGTATGATAGTCAGGTCATTCATCATGCTGTAGCCTGCCCCCATCCTTGCTCTTAAACCTAGGAAATAAATCATTCTTTCATACATTGCTCATACACAAGGGTTGGTACAGTATTTCCTAATGGAAAAATAAATACTACCTTGTGAAAACAAAGGGGTGTTAAGATAAATCTGTTGTACACATTGTGATAACAATACTACAAATTCCACATAAGTAAATGTGACACAATGCTTTGTGATGCCATGTCTTGCATAATTATATATCACATCTCACACAGCATTTTCTCCTTTTTGGAGAATTCAAATCATGTATTGCAGGGATAATCCTGCAGGGGGCCATGGGGCGGCGGGCATTGACCCCTCAAAACTGAAATTGACCCCTCCATGTTCCAATTTTCTTTTAATATTACATAGAATGGCCCCTCTTAATTTTGATATCAACTGAAAATGTCTCATTGCTCTTAAATTCCATGATTTTCCCTGCATTGTGTACAGAAAAATACTTATCTACTTTTTTTTGTGATTATATTTATAGGATAAACCAGATGTCTAATTTATGACAAAAGATTATTATTCATATATAGCCAACCTAATGAATTTATTATTAAATATAAAATATTATTTACTTACTTTTTTTTTTCTTTTTTTTCTAGCATAATGATAACATTAAAATCAATCATCACTCATTAAAATCCTAAAAGATATATATCATGCGGTTATCAGGTAATCTACCGGCTGTTCCAAACTCCATGCGATGAAGAAGCCGCTGCTTTAGAGACTCCACCTCGCCATCTTTAGCTAACTTCAGTATCTCCTCCCGTGTTGTCTCATTCTACAACACAAAGTATGTTATCAGGTTTAAAAATACATCACTTGTTAAGTGTAGAATATATAAATCTCAAATTTAAGAATTTCAGAACTTTTCGTATAAATTGTACAACTTGAAGAATATTGAATAATCAGAACTAAACCTTGAGATTTCTTCAACCCCAGAATCCACATTTCTTACTGTTACCATGACTAGCAGATTACTAATATACATTCATAACAACACAGGTCTAATATATGGAGCCCTGTGCAAAATCTTTGTTTTTATTCTACTTGGGACACATTGGAGAAACCAAGATCATTCTGTTTGTCGTCATTGCAACACTTGGGACTTTTTTTCTTCTTTTTTCTTTCTCCTATATTCTTCTTTTCTTTGGTGCCTCCCAGGTTCGGGCAACTCTAGATATTATTATACGCTTGTTTGGAGTAATGTGATCATATCTAGTAGCATTCTATTGTGCAGAAAACAATTTCTGAAGGCAATAGAAGTAAGGACTTGTACAAAGTGATAGCTAGTGCAGTGTCTGTACACAAACACTTACACATCTATCTTAGACTACTGTAGTTGATCTACTGTCAATATCTGTTTTATTTAAGATGCACCGTTACCTTTTTGCTTGTGAAAATAGTTACTACGTAACTAAGAAACATTACAATGGTAGAGATGTAACTTTCTTTTGATTAATACATGGGCAATTTATCCTAGGCCATTAATATAAATGGCAGTGTACTTTTAACCTCATCTCTGCATAACATGCATTGTAGTATGGTCTGTGTGTATATATATGGTTTGCTTTAGTGAGTTAAGCGGCCTATAAATTGCTAAGATTATTTAAGGATATATGCCTCTATATGTGTGTGTGCTGGAGGCATTATGTTGGTGTATTTGTCATCAAGTGATAGTGCAGATGTGATGTAGAGGAACTGGACTGGGTTGACCGTCGGCGACCAAATAACTCAATAGGTAGAGCAACCGTCTAGAGCTCAGAAGGACCCGGGTTCAAACATAGCCATGCATTTTTCCTCTCCTGTTACAGTGGTGCCTGTGACCAACCCTTGTTTCAAGCATTTGGTGTATAAATGGCAAGGGGATACCGAACCTGGGTTGTAAATAGTTGTGTCTTCAGGAGCGAAGACTGAGAAAAAGGAGGGAGGAATGTTGCAGAACTGGGCTGGGTCGATCGTCGACGACCAGATACTGATAGCAAAATTGGTAGAGCGTCCGTCTAGAATTTAGAAGGCTCTGGGTTCGAACCCCAGTCTGGCCGTGCATTTTTCCTCTCTTGTTACAGTAGTGTAAAAAATATGCATTGATGAGGTTGCCTTACAAGCATCAGCCTTAGGGAATTTCCCTTTGGCTCAGCAGTAGAGCATCGGGCTAGAGAGACAAGGGTCGTCGGTTCGAGCCCCAGCGACTACACTTTCTTTATCACTATTCCTCGACCTACTACAGTGATGTCAACTTTAACGTGCTACCTTAATGAAATACCATGCTAAAGTCACCCATTGCAGTATTCCCCCAGGTCACATTATGCTCATAATGTAAAGGTGTCAGCTGTTATGAATTAAAATTGTCCTACGGAACTTAAGCACTTCAATATATCCTTACAAGTTGATTGATTTATTGAATGGTTTTACGTCTGCTTCACTACCAAACAGTTTGGTTATCTAGCAGAAAATCCTTCTTATAAGTGTTGTAATTATTATTGTTCTTATACATGTACACGTATATAACCCACTATTTAAGGGGGACAACTCTTAAAGATAGTCTTGCATGCATGTGCATGCATTTTATTTGATATCAACTTTTGTCTGCAAGTATTGGGCTTCATGCATGATTGCTTACTCCAGTGGCTTTACCTCAATAGAAGCAAATTGAGCAATAGACACTCAGTAGGTGGTAATAATCTAAAACAGTATTTATGTGAAGAAGGGTGCATTGTATATCATCTAACTACAATTGACTTGCAGTTGAAACATGTTGTGCAAAACGCATTTTAAATATTCTTTTATAGTGGGTTTTGAGATAAAAGCTCCTGTTATGTCGCCGCCCCCCCCNCCCGGTGGAGGGGTCATTCAAAATTGTCAATCCTTTAGAGCTTATTTGCATGTCTGCCTCGGAAAATACCCTCCTTGTGCTGATAATCCTTAACCCCCTCCACCCGTATGCAATCAATAGGTTGCGATTTATATCAGCGCCCTGAGGGTCTTGATGTTGCGTCAGGCAGGGGATAACTCAAGTTATCTCGTTTACTTCTGGTCATAACATCAGCGCAAAGTGAGTGACATACATTGACAGTTTACTTACTTTGTCCCAGTCCATCCATTCTTCAACTTTAGCGTCCACATCAACATCACCAGTGAGTATTTTGGCCATGTTGACCGCCTTCTTTCCCCTACTACAACTGCTGCAAACGATGTCAGTTTGGCTGCTGTCAGACTTTTAACATAGGTTATAGGTTAGGACATATATTTTACGGAACGGGAAATTATACGGAGACTTATTATTGAAACCGACTTACCAGGAACGGGTTAAAGTATATACAGTGATGTGGCATAAGTATTTCACGTTACATCATTTTACCATTGGATTCTAGGTTAATTTACATATTTTTTCAATGTTTTTTGTGACTTTGATTGACATCTAATTTTGATAAAACTTGACATCCTGTTTGAGAGTTATATATACAGTGTTTCCTCTGGTAATATTTATATTATTGTCCATGGCTCAGTTGTTGAGATATCACTTTTCATCCCAGCACATTAAAGTTGTACTTTGAAATCATTCCCATAGATCTAGACACAATGTTAAATTTTGCCATATAATATGGTTTTCCCAATTAACCCATCATGGTTTTATCAAATGGATAATTATATAGATATTACCAAGAAAAGAGCTACTTATCTAGCTTTGTGCTGAATATTCGTCATTTTTTTTCCTAAATTAAGTCAGGTAGACCATCCAAAATTGAATTAACAAAGAATTCAATGGGGAAAATGACGTAACGTGAAAGACTTATGGCACGTCACTGTATGTATGATTTACCGAAGCCATTTACTATACGTCTCTGTATTTACAAAACAATATCAAACGGAACATTTCTAAACCGTAAGTTGGTGTATAAAACATGCTTACCGCTCGAAATACTTACGATCAAAACAGTTCACTAGAAATCATTCTGAACACTACACTGCTCGACAGTGGAGTCACGCGCAGCGAGATAAACCACCTAGTAATATTCACAAACCTTAAACCATACTTGTCAAATACCCAAACATCGATCATCCACTTTATCACTATATATGTTACCGAAGGCCCAGCCCAGTCAGACTATACGTTCATGTATCCAAATAGTATCAGATGCCATATACTGATAGAGGCATATTAGCGCAATATTTCTAAAACATAATTTGTAAAATAATTTTACAGTAATTGTATAGTAATATTGTCACTCGGAGTCCCAATATTTCGATCGGCCTCCTGGCCTTCTTCAGAAGATCAAGATAGACGATCCACGCACTACTGCCAAAAAAGTAACTATACGCACTGGGAAATGTTTTTTTCTTTCTGGAATGTCTATATATATAGCGTTGATAATTCATTTCTGAAAGGAAAATGATACATTTTGGAACTTTGATGAAAAAAATATATAATCCACAAACGTATTCTGATAGTAATAATTCAGCGGGCAAGACCGACATTCGATTTAAACATATTTTATTGCAAATAAATATTTACAAAAGAATTGGACACAAGTTTTACCAACTTATCAAAGTCCTTTTCTTCATATACATGAGTATAAACAATAACTTGATAAGGTAATTTACGCAATATACATTAATTATGTTTTTATATGGAAATGGAAAATAGAGACGAAGAAAAGAAGGAGAGCGAAACGAAGTAAAGGATAGTAACACAGATAGAGTAGATGAAAAATAGAGTGGAAGAAAAGACGGATAGAGTAATGAAGTAAATGATAGTAACACAGGTAGAGTCGGAGAAAAAAAAGAGTGATAGAGAGAGAAAGATGATCACATTCAGTCAAACCTGTTGCATTTGCTGATATAATTTTGGACAGATTTTGCAATTGAGGTATTTACATTAATGCTGAATTTAGGATCGCCATATAGGAGCAAGTCTAAAGTTAAATCATCACGAACAGGTTGAAGCTCTCTTATTAATAGATTACGATGCTGGGTGTATAAGGGACAGACACAAAGGAAGTGATAAGAGTCTTCACATGGATTACCGCATGCACATTCAGCTGTATTTGATAAATTTGCTCTAAATAGGTCATAGTTAAGGGAGCTCGCACGATTTCTCAAACGGCAATGAAGTATATTTGATTTACGGGAACCCCATACCAGAAAGCATTTATTTTGTGGTTTACCTTTTGATTTTATATTTGATTTAAATGAACTGAGAGAAGCCGAATTCCTTATAGATATATCTAGGTCATTCCACATTTTTGTAGTTGATGGGAAAAAAGAATTGCGCATTGTTTCAAGCCTAAAGTTTGGTTGTCTTAAATGTTGGGAATTTCTTAGGTTATAACGAGAAATATCCCCAATGCTATCTGGTAAGGTGTCACACAAATAATTAGGAGCTGTACCGTTTTTAATTGTAAAGAATAGGGACAATTTTCTGTTTTTCCTTCTATTACTTAGTGGAACCCAGCCAATTTCATTAAATATATGTTCAATTTTTGTGTAAATAGGTAGTCCTGTAACAATTCGTGCAGCATCTATCTGAATATTTTCAAGTTTTGATGAATTTGTCATTCCACAATTGTCCCAGACTTCACATGCATATTCTAATAATGGTCGAATGTACGTTAAATATAGTTTTTCAAGGTTATTTCTACTGAGTAACCATTTCATTTTACGAAGGGTTGCTATATATTTAGCCACTTTTTTGATAAGTTCGTCTACATGTTTATTCCATTTACCGTCGCTACTTAGTATAACTCCAAGGTGTTTGTGGCTATCTGTTAAAAGGATAGAAGTATCGTTAAAAATAAATTGGGGTTGAAAGGGTAGATTTGTATTAGAAACAATCATGATTTCGGTTTTTTTAGGATTGAAAGACATCAGCCAATTTTTAGACCATTTCTCTAGAGTTTTTAGGTCTTTATTTACTTCACTTACAATATTTTCTAGGTTTGGTGATGAGTATGAAAGCGACGTATCGTCAGCAAAAAGACGAGATAATGAGGAGAGTTCGGTTGAAATGTCGTTAATATAAATCAAGAAGAATAAAGGGCCTAACACTGAACCTTGGGGAACACCGGCGTTTATATTTCTTACAGAAGAATGGGAATCGTGAATAAAGACGGATTGCTTACGCTCAAAAAGATAGTTTGTTATCCAATTAAGAAGACTGCCTGAAATACCATGTTGTTGAAGTTTGTATAAAAGCCCTCTATGCCAAACTCGATCGAAGGCCTTTGAAAAATCACAAAAAGTAAAAGCTATATGTTCATAGTTTTCTAATGCTAACATCATAGAATGGTACATTTCAATGAGTTGATGCGTACAAGAATGATTGGGTAAGAATCCAGACTGAAGTTTGTAAATAAGATAATTAGAGTTAAAAAAGTTGTAAATATGTTTATAGACTACACGTTCAAAAATTTTTCCAACACAGCTTAATAATGATATTGGTCTATAATTCGAAGCATTATGAGCGTCGCCAGACTTAAAGATCGGCATGACGTTTGCTAATTTCCATTTATCGGGATATATACCATTGTTTAAGGAGTGATTAAAAATGAGGGAAAGGGGAATGGCAATTTCATTTGCTACAAGTTTTAACATTCGATGACTGATTCCGTCAGGCCCTGTTGCCTTATTTACATCTAGTATGTTAATAATATCAACTATTTCAGAAGGTATAATATGAATTTCGGACAAAAGAGAGTCTGTTCGTTTTTCTAAAATGGGAATAGGTTTGTTTTGGTCTACTTCGGAATGACTGGATACTGAAGAAAAATAGTTATTAAGAAGTTCACATTTATGGTTATTATCATTCGTGAATTCGTTAGCATTGGACATTCGAACCCAGGACCTCAGACTGTTATACTGTCGCTCTAACCGACTGAGCTGCCTGGTCCACGGAGAGTTATGCCCCAGCTGTGCCACAGTTATATCTAAAACAAAATTAAGGGAGCTTTAACTTACTCTTAAAAAACATATTGCGGTGGGACACGACTCCTTAAATTATATTCAGCCTAAGTTCGCCCTTGACGGTCGACCTTGAAGAAGGCCATCTTTCCCCTCCATGGAAAACATTCATTGTATATTATATAGTATTAGATTTCAAAATGTGAAACCACTCATCTTCGGCTGTATTTGAGTCCCTTTTTAGATATTTAAAGAATTATGTATTTATCCAGACATCAGAGATTTATTTTTAATGTTTCTATTGCGAGGAGAGCGCGGGATTAGTAAACCGGAGATTCAAGCCGTGACAAGTCTTTCAACTGCTGGTGGAAACATTAAAAAAATAATTACCTCTGTAACGTATACTATTTGTATCAGCTATATATGTATATTGTATGCACACGCCGAGATAAATGCGAAATGAAAAAAGTTCCATTAAAGTGAGTCAAGTAAATGACAAAGTTCCAATCGTATACCGCACCTAAATTACTTTTTTTTAATTCGCTACCAAGCTGTGTCCATCCCCTAAACTTTGCATAGAAACTTACTTCCGAAAGTTAGCCTTTTGAAGTTGTTCAGTTATCAAATTTCACCTACGGACTCCAATAGATATGCATAGAAACTGATTTCCGGTATAGAATTCTACATTGAAGTTGTTCTCTTTTCAAATTTCACCTTTTTAAATTATATGAAACCAGATCAGATATACCCAACCATGAACACCCCTATCTTTACCCCAAATGGTATTCAAAAACTACTAAAAAATCTTGATAGTTCCAAAGCACCAGGCCCAGACGACCTGAGTCCGAGAGTTTTGAAGGAATTGGCCAGTAAAATTGCCCCTTTTCCCCTACAATCTGACACTGTTCCGCAAGATTGGAAAATCGCCCATATTGCTCCAATATTTCAATGTGATCCTGGGTAGAACTAGAACCTATACGGACTCCAGCTAAGCGGATCAGATATTTTACTTGTAATGCGAACTCTAATGAAAAACCTTATATCAGAAGAAATACACACGTGCGAGTCTTTAGAATGCACGTTCGACTTGAATGCAGATCATTGAACGCTCAATTTATATTTCAAACTGAGCAATAATTAACGTCCTTGTCGCTCTTTTACATTTTACTTTTCGTTTCTTATATTTTCTTGTGTTGCGTAAAATGTATTTACTACGGTTAATGTCGCAAAGAATAATCTTATGACACCTATGTCACATACCGTATAGCATTAATCTCCGGTTGTATTTTGCTATTATTCGTACACATTGAAGAATCAATAGAATTACATATCAGTATTTTGCTCGATTTTAAATTTACGACAAATTAGGTCTAGCTTCGACCTACTTCCACCGAAGAAATACTAATTACAACCCGGTAGACACTATGATAGGCCGGTACAACACAGAAACATTAAACTTTACTTAATTAACAAAAATTCTTAAGCAATTCAACACTCGTACTCATCACTCCCATCGGAACGGATGTAAGCTCAAGTGATTCATAATATGGGAGGAAGCCGAAGAACCCAGACAAATTCGATGTGGTTGAACAAGTCCGTACCTAGCCTGAGTTTCCTCTGGCCCGACACCAAACCTAGACCTTTTGACAGAAAGTTGTCTAGTGTACATCTATCTGAGTCAGTACCGGACACTAACCCACATACAATTTGGCCTTTCCATATCCGACCGAGGAATGGAACTCAAAACGACTTTTAAAGGGTGAGTGCACTTTAACTACTCATTGAGGCAAAGGACTCTTCCGGGATATCCTAGGTTCTTCGGGCTGGTATTAGTATCACCAACCTTAACTGATCAGAGGTGTAACACGGTTAATCACCATCAACGTCTACTTAAATGGTTTGTTTGACATTTTAATGCATTTTTTCCTTCACTTCAACGTCTTTTAAGAAACTCGCAGTGATTTATTGTTTCTTTTCTCTTCGATGTTTTCAGAACTCTGCCACCGGGAGTTTACACGGCCTCGTTCTGATACAGGAAGTAGCAGGTTCCCCGAACTTCCGGTTCCTAAATCGTTGCTTAGTGCACATAAACAGAAGATAAGATCATTGACGTTACCTGTGTATTTAGTGCAAATGAAAAACACGTGCATGCATCAGTGTTCATAATACATGATACTATTTAAATTATCCGTAATTAATTATGGCTACGGGACATATCTTGCCAGGTTTTGGTCAACCTGTGACAAACTTGAAAAGAGCCAAAACAGCTTACCCTATGGATAAGACTAAACTAAGGGAATACGCTGTATTAAATGTCCCAAAGCCAGACGCCAGCGAACTGGGATATATACGAGAAAATGCTCGACAAGTGTGGTCTGCCAAGCCTACACATGCCACATCATACAACTGTCATTATGAAGGGAGACGACTGGACGAGCAGACGAAATCCAGACCAACGTCACCAACAAGAAAAAACAAGCCTCATCCGCCTCTGTAAGTCTTCTTTCACCAGAAAGCATACTGTATTACATCCATCAATTTAATAGTAGTAGCCTGTCACTGTTAAGCAATGCACCTAAATTACAAACACATCAAGATCTATGTTCCCCTGCCACTGTAGTACAACATGTAGATTTGCTAGTTTTATTAGGAATGATATTTACTTTATGAAATTATTAAATCCGAAATGATGTTTTGTGTATGTGTCATTTACTTGAATTCATTTAAGAATTATAAAGTCACAGAATGTTAGGTTGAGTTATTGATTGCCACCAAGACAGTGAAAGTTTTGCAACATAAATTACTGTTTACAAGTGTATATTTGGAACTAATGTTACTTACTTTTTGTCGATAATTTTTTTCCGAATTTGTTGTCCTATGTTGATGAGATGCAATGAATAACTAGAAAATTTATCCTGCAAATCTCATGTTTAGATAATTGTCTTTTTCGTAGAATTTTAAAATTAATAAGTCAATTTTCCCAGAAAACATCAACTGCAAAATTTAACATGGTTGATGTCTATTGGAATGATGCCAAAAGTATCTTTTATGCAGGGAGCAACAGTTGATATCTCAGTAACACAGAAAAAAATGATGTATTAGTATTCTGAATAAATCACAAGCTGTGTGCAAAACTTTATCCATAGGGGAAAAAAACTAAATCAGGAATTTATTGAAAAATAGTAAATTAACATAGTGATTCCAATGAGAAAATAATGTAACATGAAAGACTTATGACATGTTACTGCATAAAAGTCTTACATAATTGTTTACTGCATTGTAAATTATTTCTAGACAAAAATGAAGGTTTTGGTATGACCAATGTGTACAAACAAAATCAACATATAATATTTTTTGCTGCAAACTTAGACATTTTCAATATTAATCTTTGCTTAAAAGTATTTTGCTGATAAACTCCTCTTCAACATTAAAAAAACAAATATTTATAATTTTGTCAAAAATGCAAAAAAAAAGGTGACTATAAGCAGGGACGTATAATATACTGTCCCTGCTATAAGACAGTATGCTTGCATTTGTATATGTGGTGCCTGACAGCGAATTTCTGTAATTATCATTGACACATTGTCTTAATCATTTTATGTGAGGCTTAGACCCCTTTTAAAGATGACAGTTAAGGGTCAGTGACTTTTGTCTATATGTCTTGGAATCAAGAGTAGTGGTTTTCGCAGCAGAAATCTTATATTTCTGTCAATATTTTGTTTGATATAGATCTCCTTGAGTTTTCTCTCTCTTTCTTATTTCTAATTTGCAAACATAGAAGATCATTTATTGGAAGACATGCATCTTTCTTATTTCCCTAATATAGTCACTCAGGATGTTTTTATTTTATGTTTTTTTCGTCTGGATAGATGTAACAATAAAATAATAAAAATAATTAGCAATAGATATTTTTTTATATATATGTGTCATTTCCATGTCATGAAAATTTACAAATGTGGCATAATATTTCAAGTTTGATTGTGTGCTGAAGGGAAATATTTTTTGTCTTGTTAATTGTTTTCGCTTTAACAAAGGTGGTAAAAAAATAAGTTTTTGTTTTATTCTATCTTGGTTACAAATAACTTAGATAGTTATTGATTTTAGACAATATTTTATTGGTGAATTTTGTCACTGCCATATATATTATCCTTTATCAGTTTAATTACATTATAATCATATCTCATGCTTATGCAGCACTTGATTTAAAAGTTACAGCTTTTGAACATGAAGCTGGAACACACATATAAGAACACTTTTAACTTAGAGTCATTTCGAGGTCACAACATTTAAGAAGTGTATATATTTTAAAAGGCCTACATTACATGTTAAAATTTGTATCAAAGAATCCATCAATTTAAATTTAAAGCCACACAATGAAGGTTTTCAGATAATGAAATTGATTCAAATGAAAGACATAAAGAAAACATTTAAATTCCTACTTCGTCTGCAGATATTGCTTCTATTGTTAGGCTACCTTTCCAAGGCATGGTCTATTTTAAAGCCGACTCCGCTTTTATCATTTTCTATAAAAGACATGACATTATATTAATATACTGTACTCTGAATTAAATTCAAACACAACAGAGCTGCATGTATTATCTGCCAAAGAAATTTTAAGAAAAGAAAACATTGACAATTGGCATTGAACATAATGTGGCAATATGTGGTTGAGTGAAGAGAAAAATGGATTTTTTGAAAAATTATAAGTGGATGCACAGCACAATTGGCAGTGACTTAGACTATACTTAACTCAAGGTTCTGCTGCTGTGTTGGGATGAACATGCATTGTAACAAGTGTTCTTAAGATTCTTAAGTTACCTTGGGTCTGAATTTTTCCTCAGTCCTTGCCACCTGCCTTTATAGAGTGGAATATATAGGATCTTATAACATGAGTTTCCATTTCATATGAGATTTATGAAGCGAATCTAAAAAAAAATCAATATAGCGAGCCTCTGGCTAGCTAAAATGAAAAATTTGTAACGAGTTTCATAAATTTCATTACTGTTGAAAAATATCACAAGCATCTCCTACTCGTAAAATATATATATATGTGATTTTGTTTAATGCATGGTCAAACTATATGCATTCTGTCTCACATATATATTTCTAATTGAGTAATAAGCTATCAGCACATATCATTGAGTGAAAGCTCATCCTCAATACTCCAGGGGTAACACCCACTTTCACACTCTGCAGCCCTGGAAAAAGTCACAGGAAAATTAAAGGCTCAGTGTACCCCACCATGTGGAACTCCAACAGAGTTAGAGTGAACGTAACCCCGGGAGTATCGAGGATGGTCAATGTTGAGGTCTATAAGCTTTTCCATGTGCAGGTTCTACAACTAGTATCAAGGGTGCTTACAAATGCCTGTATTTGAAATGAAATAAAAAGAATAAATAGTTAGACAGAAACCTCCTTTGGAAAGTTTACCATATCAGCACTGCATAATTTTCTAAAAAAAAGGGGGAGGGGAGAGAAAATCCTTGAAAAATGGTACATTTTATAGAAGATTTTTTAACTTCAAAACATTGACCTTCTAATAAAAATCTCCATATGATTTCAGCTGATACAATGTTTATTTTTTTAACTTTCAGAGTGTTTTTGACAAACAGACTTCATTATATTGATGGCATGCAGAACCCTGATGCTACATTAGGAAAGGGTGTCTATAGAGGTAGGAAGCTTAATTCTCGTTTTAACTATTATAATGAAACAAAATTTGGATTATTGATACATTGTTTACATGATAAAATGTTCAGCTTTTATCAATGAACAATTAATACTTCTTCATCTGTATTATGATACTGTACATATATACCTGGTAATACATTTATCCACACATATATACCATTTGCATAATTGTAATTTTACAAGTGTAGTAATTAGGTCAAGAAAGTAAGTAAAAAGTATTAAGAGCTCATCTCATAGATCGATTCCTGAATAAAGCTAAGTTTGGAAAGGATTTTATAAGGAGACAAAATTTTAAAGATGGAAAAAAATATATACGAGAATGCGTAAATATGAAAGAATAAAGGAGAAACTCCATTGTCCTTCAAAGCTTTTGAAGAAAACTATTATTTTATGGATGTCGGGATCAAATTCATAATGTATGATATAATATATTGTATACGTAAAAGTCATATTTTGCATATATCTCCAGTGGGCACACAGTACTGTATTTATCCGTTAATAAGCCCATGTCTGGTAATTAGCCCACCATATTTATTGCAGGTCAGTAGATCTAGAAATGCTAACTAATGTTATTTCATTATCCTGCAATAGACCCATGTCTGGTAATAAGCCCACCCATATTCATTGCAATTCAGCAGAAATGCCAACATATTCCATTTCCTATTGCACTAGTCCTGTACAAAGCCCATCCCCTGCTTTGAATCAATGATTGAAGTGTTGGCTCAATTCCTGGGTTCATTGCAGGATATGCTTATGGATAAACCCAAAGTAAAGTTTATTATGCAAAATACTTCTGAAGTTGTGAAATATTCAATTTTTATTTAATTTGCATATTTAAGTGTATATGTAAATTCAGCCAGGGTCATTTAAATCAATATGTGTTTTCTAATATTAAATCGAAATTCAACAAACATTATGCAATAGACTTTTTAACCAACTAATCTTTTATTAGCTTCAAATAATGAAGGATTTTGCTGAAAAAAGGAGTTCAAGTGTCTATTTTCACTAATCTTTTAATGTATGTTTTTTTCCCAGTGGATGGTGTTGTACCGGACAATGAATACGTTAGGAGAAAGCTAATCCGGGAAAAATACATCCCTCGTCCTCACACGGCAGCCATTAATCAATATGCTAATGATGTAAGTCGGAAATTGTTTATGTGTCGGAACAACACACTGGTTTTATGATATACACAGCTATATATTCAATCAAACCATTTAACGTCCCATATGGGAATCGAACCCAGACCGCCTTGATGTTAGGCGAATGCGTTATTCACTGCGCCACCCAACCACCCATATACATGTATATATAGATATACGTTTATTGATTATATAGATTATAGAATATATAGATTTCAGAATGATTGAAAACACAAAAATGTCCACATGCAAGAATAATACCATTCCTACTGTACCATTTTATTATCCTTTTTTTTCTGTTTTCTCATCAGGGTATGAAGGATATTTTCCCTGCCACCGAAGCACAGGCCGCTAGCGCTTGGCTGAAAATTGCCGATGATAAAGGTAACATTAGGAACATTTATGCCTGATTCCATTATCACAAATTTTACAAGGTGTACATTTTGAAAACTCTCTGAAATTTACAGAAATTTTTGTGATTTTTTTTATATCAATTGAAAATATTTTGAACACCTCTACATAAAGTTGTAGTTTTGAATTTCGATAATTTTTTAAAGTATCTTATATGAAACATTTAATTTTTGTATTGAATTGCTATTAAGCTGACAAGACTTTGAACAATTTGATCAATAATAATGTATAGCATAATATTTCTACATAGAAACTGACCAGTTGAGAAAGAGATCAGAAGAAGTGATAAACTGCAATATCAAATGAGCCTTGATTTTGTTGGAAAATTCCATAATGACAATTAGTTAAAGATTATTAATTATCTGTGATGCTACGTCTATTTGTTTATTGCTCCTGCAGATAAATTCCAGCTGATGAATATGATGCAAGATGAACGAACAAAGGCATTTAGAGAACAAAACAGGAAATTACAACCACCTGTAAGTAGTAATGGAGTACAAGCTCATACTTACACACTCCTATAAATTACATATCGTTTTTATATGTCCGTTGAAAGACAGGATATATACCAGTTTATGTTATCATGTGATACACCCCCATGCTGCAGACACACAATAGTCAAACATGATAAGTTATCCTTATCAAAATATTTCCTTGTAACTTTTTATTTGGTCTACACCCCCATGCTACAGACCTATAATTCCTAGTCAGACACCTACTATTCAAGCGTGGTCTTATAATGCAAGTGGTCCTTTTACAGAGGTTAATCTCCTTGTAACTTCCTTTTTGGTCTACACCCCATGCTGCTGACATATTGCTAATAGTCAGACACTCACTATTCAAGCATGGTCTTACAATGCAAGTGGTCCTTATCCAAAGGTTTTAGTGTAACTTTCTGTTTGTCCAGGCCCCAGTGCTGGAGAGATCCAGAACAGACATGCCCTCCCTTCACAGGTGGATGAAAATGGCCGGCGTTGAAGGTAAGGCACTGTATAATTACTCCTTCGTGTTATCAGCTTAGTACATTGTGTTTCTACTATGACATTTACTCACACATCAGTATATTGACAAGTACACTGTGTAATATACTGGTTGACACCAAATACATAAGGAAGCTGATTTTGTGTCTACATAGGTAAATGAAATAGTGGGTTATCCAATACAATTGTGAATGTATTAAGAGGGTTTCCTCAGAACCTTTGCAAATATTTCTTTATTTAAAAAATATTAAGCTTAATGATTATTTTTGCAAAATGGATGAAGTTCTGAACTTCATATAAATACCAGAAGTGAAAGCAAATTCTAAAGATCAGTGCTAATTTATAAAAAGAGTTTCAGACAATGATCTGTAGCAGTGTTTAAGTTAAACATATCACTTTTCATAATGTTTTATTTGATTAATGGACAAGACAAAAGGTATGGTTATGGATGTATATAATGACAGTGACATTTTGAGGCAAGTTAAAAACTGAGAACCTTGAATTTGAAAGTAGATCTGGTGAACTTAACAAAATCATGTACACTGAAGTTGATACTATTTGACATTGTTGCCAAACTTACCAGGCTAAGTAAAATATGTAGTTTTGCATGTCGACAAAAGTATGTTCTTTCAATTTTAACTTGTATACTTTTTTTCCCCATCATACTATTGACTTATTGGATGTACATGTGACAACTTTAGTTTTCAACATAGTAAAGGTTGTTTATTTTTAGTATGTATGATAAGGGATGATGTAAAATAGTTTGGTTGTATCATACCTTAGTGCCCGGTCGCCTTCCCTAGTCAGACTGGGTACCTGTAAGTACCTCTGATTCTGCGTTCAGGGATACCATAACTATTTGGCGTGCTCATTTTGTTGATTTAGAAATACTGTATTGACTGATGTACGTGTTATTTGTATATAGTCTTTTCAGTAGTTTATATTTATTGCATGCATTTATGAAGATCATTCAAATAACTTGTATGGTACGTGTTATAAATGGTTCGTTGTTCATCAGATGTCGACCCTGTTAAAATTTGATCCCAATTACTATCCACGATACTTTAACCCATTCACCCCTAAAGTCACATTTGAACCTTACCAAAACAAAGACTGGGCAAGTCCAGTTTACAACTGTAGGGGTGAATGTTCAATGAAGTTATACACGGTGTGTCCAGATTCAACACCATTTTATACAAATTTGATCAAATAACTACATGGGGACCGTAGAAGTCAATTGACCTAGTGTAAAAAAATATATTTTAACTTTCCATACAGTTGAAATTATTCAAATGAATCAAAATATTTAGCACCATAGTTTTAGCGAGATTGTTCAAAGTTGTCCCATCATAATCATTTTCCATGCTCTCAACAACTTTCTAACTCATTTGCATTTCTTACCTCCGAACAGTTGCATTTATGCACCTGATCTGACTATGTATGTGTGTGTGTGAAAAATGTGTTGTTAAGTATACATATGTGTGTACTGTTAAAAGTTTTTGATCTGGTACAATGTCCTTGTCCTCATTTACCAAAATGTTCACAGTGTTGTTATATAGAGGGGGTAACTCTGTATCACCCTGAGACTCCCATATCACCCTGAGACTCCCATATCACCCTGAGACTCCCATATCACCCTGAGACTCCCATATCAGCCCGGCCACAGGGCTGATACGGAGTAGGATATAGAAATGGTCATATTGGTAACCTTTTTATCATAAACTGCTCTATTACATAAAATTATTAGCAATAACAAATAAACACTGAAAAATGTATATTTCATGGGCTTAACTTTAACCACATTCTTCCTTAAATAAAACACAATGAATAGAATGGCAACAACAGATAGATAAGCAGTTTGTGCACAGCCAGTTTGAGGTGTGATTTTTTCTGAAATGTGTTGAAATGGAAGTTAAACAGATATGTCACTTGCCGGGCAGATATGGGTTGATCCAGAGGGTACAGCCTATGCACAGCTAACAGTTTCATGCAAACATGCAAAACAACTCATATCACAGACAGTAATATGATGATTAATCTTATATGAATTTCTGTGTGTATCTGCATGTGATTTTTCCCAAATATCTGTGTGTTTAAAATGAAAACATTAAGTCTTTGTAACATGTGTTCGTTTAATCAAACCGTTGTATTAGTTTATTGTATACATTTTCTTGTGTACGGAAATTGTAGATCATATTGTAATGGGTATCCCTGTCGTTGGTTTCAGTAAAATCGTTTCAAGTCTATACAATGTTTAAGTTTCTTTGCTAAACTAAAAGATAGTAATATCATCTTATTTATATATAATACCGTAGATGTATAGGGTGAAAAGGTCAAATGACTTAGGTATATTGTATATATCAAACTTGGATTATACATGAGATTTTGATTATTACAAAATCTGTTTTTAGAATTTCAGTTGGTCTTGCTTTTTTCTTTAAAAGAGGAGGCATTATATAGAAAAAACAATATAAATCTTAGCTGATCATATAATTATATATATTATACCGGCCCCTACAGAGCTAAGGTAATAAGGAAATATTGGGCAGTGTAGCAGTTCTCCTCACTATAAATCCTTTTAACTAGAAGCATTTATTATATATATATAAGATTGTAGTGCAGACATATATACAAAAAATACCAGTGGTCAAGATAAAAGGTCAGAGTCTTTCTTAAAAAAACATTGATGTTAACCAATAACTTTTGAAGGTCATTGGTCAAGGTCAAATATTAAAGTCATAGATAATGGTGTAGTGGTTTCCAGTTCTGGAACTATTTTAAAGCTGAATGTACCCATTTTGGGTAATTAAATTTCAATTCAGAATTATTTCCATATTTTTTTTTTAACTTTTGGAGATTGACTTAGTGCTAATGTTACTCATGCCTGATATACATGTACATGTAGTAACATTCTTGTTCATTCATTTTTGAGCTTATTTCATGTAAAATTCAATGAAGCAATCTGAATTAAGTCATTGATAATTAGTTACAAGCCATTTTCATTATCTAACACTATAATAGTTCAATGCAAGTTAACCCATTCACCCCTAAAGTCACATTTGAACCTTACCAAATCAAAGACTGGGCAAGTCCAGTTGAAATATGTAGGGGTGAATGAGTTAACATTAATAACCCATATAGAGGATTGTTGAAGACCTGCCTTTGTGAAGGATTTCTTACATCCTTAGATTTAGGTTTGAAAATAATCTTCATTAGAGAAAATCAAATTTCCTTTGAGTTTAATTATTTTATTTATTTGAACTGATGCATAATGTGATTTTTAATATATAAGAATGCATGCATAACAATTAAAAAGATGTTCTATTGGGTTAATATCACTGATCAGCAGGTGCATGTGTGTGCAGTTGTTCTTTTTATTGTTAAATGATGACATGTTGGGGAGATCATGGTTTTACTAAATGTGGAAGGGAATCAAATATTTTTAATATATTTTCTTTACAATGAGCCTGTACCTATTGAGTTTTTGTGCATGATTATAAGGATCCTTGTCCCACAGCCTGCAAAACACTAGAGAAATCCACTGAAAGTTTTCGTACAAAATTATATTAGTAATTTAAATCTCCCTGTTATTTTTTGTTTATATATAAGTGTACTGGATCTGGGTCAGTGTACTATCATTGATCAGGTAGCTCAGTTGGTTAACTCATTCACCCCTGAAGACTCATTTGAACTCTTCAGATTTGAAGGTTGGAAAAGTTCATTATGAAATGTCAGGGGTGAATAAGTTAAAACAACAGCATAATGATCGGAGGTCCAGGGTCCAAATCCTGGCCTGGCCCTATTGCATTTTTATACTTCAAACTTTTAAATGTCTCAGTTTGGTATTTTTTTGTTTCTATCATTTCCATTATTTTTTTGTTATAAAAGTTCCGTAAGGTATGGTTTTCCTTTTAAACAGGTTTATCAAAACCATAGTTGCATGCATTTTGGCAGTGGTACTGGGATCCTTTATGCAGGGGTTTGCCAGTGTTGTGTGCAAGGCTGATTCTACTGTGTATAATGGATTTTTAACTGGTCAATATCAGATATCAATAACAGTCACATCCTCATTCAAACATGGCTGGCATCATATGAGCTCACTAAGGCAACTTGAGTAATATTTATTCATGACTTGATATTGATTGTCGATTATTGACTGTTAATATAGAAGCTCATTCAGTTATTTCATGTATATCACATGCCTGCTTAGTTCTTACAACCTGGACAACTAAACCTCATTCACCCCTGAAATTTCATAATGAACTATTCAAATCTTTGAATTGGAAGAGTTCAAATGTATCATCAGAGGTGAATGAGTTAATAAATACACCAGTGCAAGGTTCAGTCCAGCCAACAATAAGTAAAAGCACATAAATATATTGAAACATTTCTTGACTCATATTTTATAGCATGATTAGAAGTCTATTTTATCTCTTCCAGAAAGCACTGATTTAAATCGCGTTCTTCAGTCCATCCGCACCAACCCTGATCACCAGTTATCTTCACGAGTCGGCTCTGCTGCAGGGTCCATGAAACAGAGACGCAACATTGACATTGACGCCATGGCGCGCATTCGATTTGTGCCCAAGGCAAGTCGTGGAGAGTTCCTGATGCATCCTGATTGGCCCCCTAACATTCCCCATCATCATGTGCCTTGAGTGACCCTGAGTGACCCCGAGTGACATTTTGAATGACCAATGAGTGACCAAGTGTCTGGGACTCATCATGTGTGGTAGATTGTGCCTATAGAAGCTAGTATTATACAAATTTAGGACTGACATTTGAATTTACCACGACTGAACATGATAATTTACAAGGACTGCCTTATTTTGTTGTCTGTAAGAAATCTGTCATTTTTTTTACTCATTCACCCCTAAAGAAACATTTGAACTCTTCCAATCCAAAGTTTGGAATAGCTCATTATGAAATTCCAGGGGTGAATGAGTAAAGAATCATTTACTTCCATTATTGATGAAAACCTATACATGCATGTATACTGCATATTTGTTAATTTACGATCCTTTAACCAGACTTATGAGCCTTATTTGTACGTTGGTATGTTGTTTATTTTTAATTTTGATTTAGATTAGAATCTTCAAAACACCTTAAAGCAGGGTTGCTCCATATGATATAACTTACTGTTAAAAACTCAGTTTTTATGTATATGTATTGAAGTATTGTAGCAAATCAGTATTACTGTAGCTAATTGACAGTCATTTTAAATGTCCAATACATTTCTTACTGCTCTTTGCCGAATTGACAATGCATTCAATTTCAAGATATATTCCACAATCACCCAATACTTCCTAGTAATTAAAAAGAAAAAACTGCTTTAAAGGTATATATATTTCAAGGTATATTTTCTACAATCACCAAATATTTCCTAGAAATTAAAAAAAAATAGAAATTATTATTGCTTTTAACATTTGTATTCAAAAGGTATTTATATTCAAGATATATTTTCTACAATCACCAAATATTTCCTAGATATTTATTATTATTTACAAAACAAAGATTATATATTATTATGGCTTTTAAAATTTCATAGATTTCTTTTACATTATAAATGGATATCAATATATTAAGATAAATATATGATGTACAACTATTGATATAAAATGGTAATGTTTTTACCAGAATGGTATATAGCATCTTCTAGTCTCCCTTTAACTATAAACACATGTACATAGATTTGTTATTGAAATATATGACACTGGTCCTATGTCTTATATTCGTCTGTCAGTGACACAATTGAAGGGACCTCTAGATTTGCCCTCCTTCCATCAGTTAGCTAGTCCGCTTGTCAGTGTCTCACTTTGTCAGGAGTAGATCTCATGAATATACTCTTTCAATTGCCAAGTTGTGCATGTAAGTACCTCTTAGGAAGTGTTACATACTAAAATCAGGTCTTCTGCTTCACTTTATACAGAGTTATTGCCCTTTGATAATTTGGGGGGATTATGTATTATTGCTTACATTACTCTGCCTTGTTATAAATTCATTGAAAATCTTACCGGTAGTTAAAAAGGTTCACTTTTAATGTTGCTTTACATTATTGGTGATGACCATATCTATTATATATATTTACAAGTCACTTACGAAAACAAGTACACTGTTACATTTGTACTACTTGCATGTTGAAATAGAATGCTTCTCACATCAATCGATAACAATCTCTCGGTAAATTATGTGAAGCAAGTAGTTTTATTATAAAATACTCACCACTGCATCTAAACAAAAATTCATATTGGCAGATTTAAGTATTATATTTATATATACCCGGTAATAATGAAATAGTTTATGAAAATCAATTAAAGGATATAAAATATGCATCCTGATATAATACAATAGATTATACTAATTCAAACTTATTCTTAAGCTATGGTTATTGTTTTGAAAACGAGATGGCACAATCACAAATAAATCATGAATATTAATTTTTGTTTGGTTGTGCATGGTAAGTGCTAGGTTAGGCTATGCACTGCCCCCTAACCAAAATAAACTTTATATAATTTTAATGTTGTAACTTAAGTCACTTGTTATATGTCACCTAGAGATAAACTTATTTTACAGGAGATACAGAAATCCAATCCATGCTTTATCTTACCATGAAGAAACATGTATACTTTGGATTTATACATCTCTGTACAACGGAATTATATTACCTTGTAGTGAGATCAGCTGTATGAGATATACAAAATACATTCACCATGTTAATTTTTGCACAGAATTCCTTTTTACCAAAACTTAAAGCTGCAAGTATGCAATGCCAAAATGGTAAAATCTTCCAATCGTTATCCAATGCCATAAACTTTTAAAAAATACAAAATTAATTGTGAATCCTTTTTTGTAAAAGAATATACACAAATTATAAAATGCCGTGCTAATTAATTGTTGTGCCTTTTGATCATTAATGAATTAATATCGTAGGATGTATCAAGGGAATCCAGCATTCATTGTGTTTTGTGTGTTGTGCTATTCAGAGTAAACAGATGTTTTTGTAAAGTGTATTTGATATATTTAAAAACAAAATCCCATTCATAGTCATATATTCTTAAACCTCAAATTACTGTATACTTTTTTATGTATAAATATATATATTGTACAAATCTGTATACTATATATTGTACAAACCTGTATATTATATATAGTACAAACCTGTATACTATATATTGTACAAACCTGTATACTATATATTGTACAAACCTGTATACTATATACTGTACAAACCTGTATAGTATATATTGTACAAACCTGTATACTATATATTGTACAAACCTGTATACTATATACTGTACA